GCAGGTCGCGCATCTGCTGCGTCATCTTAGGGGAGGATGACCTGGGAAAGGACAAGGAGGTGTGGGGACGTGCCAGAAAGGCAGAGGCACATCTGCAGCGTCGGGACCGAGGCACGACCCAGGAGAGCCAGAGCAGTGCCAGGGCAGCACCACTGTGACCGGCTGCAAGGCGGATGCCGGTGCCAGCAATGCCCTCATCCATCTGTTATCAGGTGAGGCCAGTCCGTTCCTCCTCCCCATCACTGCCCCTGACCCTGTGGGGGTCCCGAGGGGCTCGTATGAACTCTGCGGGTGAGACATTTCCTTTCAGACCCAAGGGCCGGTCTGGCCTCACACTGCCCTTGAGCTGGGATGCCCCAAGCAACCTCAGGCTGCTCAGCTCTGCAACCGGTCCCCATCCATCACACCAGGGAAATCTCTCCTTACTCCCAGTCTCCACCATCCAGCTCCTACAGAGATGGGTTGCCCCATCTGGGGCTGCCCAGACCCCCTCGGCAGTGGGGGCTGCAGGGACCGACAGCCCCCCAGCCCCGTGCTGGGTGAGTGCTGCCCACCCCACAGTTGGCTTGGAACGGCCTCACGCATCCTCTCCACATCCATCCTTCTAGCAGGAACCCATCTCCTGCACTTATCGCCGTCTCTCAGCTCTCTCTGGTACGTGACTTTCCCCAGGGTCTTTATTCCAGCAAAGGACACCCTCTGAAAGCGAAGCGAGAGCAGGGAATGGACAAAAGGCCACCAAGAAATGGCACCGAGAAAACGCCAGGTCCCGATGGGGACCAGTGACCCCCAGTCTCCTGCTCACCAGCAGACCCAGGCTCCACAGCTGCTCCTCACCTTCTCCATCCACACTGATTAAGCTACAAAATCTTTTCTCCATTCTGATTTTGATTTCTACTTTAAATAGCCATGATAAATATGTAGATGTCACTAGGAAAGCTGGCGTCTTTTCTTGGCTTCCCCGAGGGGGAGCTGCCCCTCTCCCTGCAGCCGTGACCCTCGTGTCCTCACCAAGTCCTCATCCTCACCAGGCAAAGTCCCCGGCTTCAGAGGGAGTGTGGCCTCGCTGCTGCGTGGGGCTTTTGCCCATGAGTCATCCCTTACAGCACCGAGGGTTTTCACTGGCGTCAAACATCTGATCCCCTTTTGCCGTAGCCCGTGGCACAGTTCCCAGACAAGGAGCATCAGGTCTAAAGAGCATTTAGCACAACTACGCTTAATGCAGTTTTTCTCAGTTTTGACCTCATACCCCTGTGCGTAAGGTCAGATATGTAGGGGCAAGGTCTTCCCTGTATCACTTTATTAGTTAAATATCAAGCAAGGGGTAAGCGTGATAAAAAGCATGACAGTTTTCTAGAAGGTCATGCCAAAATGCTACCGCAAAGCTGTGCCTGTGATGATGATGTTTATAAAGCCATCATCAGGAGGCAGGATATTAATAACAACCTCGCTACGTGTCTTCATCATCCTGATTTCAGATTAGGCACAGTGGGCTGCAGAAGTCCTTTAATGATTTTACCTTTTATTACTGTGATATTTAAAAGCGGAAAATGATGGGGAGGTTGGCTCCTGCCAATCACTCATCTCACTCACTTCAGCCTACGGATTTAGAGGTCTCGAGTGTGGCCCAAGCCGCAGTGTCGAGTTGCTGCCCTGGATTCCTCCAGGGATGGGCGTTATCTGAACGTATGGCTTCACAGACCGGATAGACAGACAGTGAACACCAACCACGTGAGCTTCAGGTGGCAAGACACCCCTAAGCAACCATGCAAAGGTTGGTGAGATCTGTGCAGCAGGGTCCTGCTGGTTCTGGTGGGGAGGAAAGGGAGCAGCTCTCCACCAGGAAGGCATCACCACATGGGGAGAGACCTCCACAACACACGGTAATGCTGGAGAACCAGCCCTGGGCTCACTGGGACCCACTCGGCTCTGGACGCAGAGTCCTCAGCTTACAGCCATGCCAGCCTGAGCACATCGTGTTTCACCATGGACATGGAGCAGCTCCTGGCATGGCCAGTGCTGAGGACTCCTCATGCCAAGGGGCTCCGCATACAAGTCTCTACAGACATACGGCACATACAAGTCTCTACAGACGGCAAATAAAAGACCCCAGATATCACAGGAGCAGAAAAGCATCATGCAGTTCTGCTGTCACTGGTAGACAGAAATTAAGAGAGAAAAGCCACACGTGCCTGTGCAGGCAGGGCGCTCTGGTGGGAAGAGGCAACCAGGATGGCAGGTCCTGACCCACGGACCAAGCCCAAGAAGCAAAGTGCTATCTGACATACTTAGGAAAGAGAAATAACCGACTCAAGAGACTCTCCAGCAAAACCTTGCCTTTTCTTTCATGTATAAGAGCTCCCTGCTGCCCAAGTCCTCCTCTCTCCACCTCCAGCTGCTGCTCGGAGGTGAAGACAGCTCTTTTAGCAGGCTCGTTGATGAACTGCCCAATTCCTCTTCATTCAAGGAGGCAATAATGCTGTCCCACATAGGAAAGTAAGAAAGACCCCAAAAGTACCTCTCTGAAAGCTGGGTTAGACCCTGTTGTAACAGATCCCTACTCCATCCATACCTGCAGAATCAAGGTTTAAGAAAGGAGTGATGCTTTGGAGCAAAAGCACTTTTTTCTGACAATTAAAATATACGGCAAATGACCCAGTACAGGCAGACTGCACAATTTGGAGGAAGTTCTCTCAGAGATGGTAGAAACAGAGGGCGACACAGAGAAATTTCGCACTATTTTCCCTCAACTGATTTGCTTCTAATGAGAAGTAAAGAGACGGAAATTATTCAGAGCTCAGGAGTGAACATCTATCTATATTAAACCGGCTGCCCCAAAGATAAAAGAGTTTCCTGCCCTGTGGTTATGAGTCATCTGGACTCAGTGAAATAGTCTTGATTTATCTAGAGCTAAACTTTGCGGTGGAGCAACTGATAGCTGCAAACAACACCCACAGATGTCGTGCCCTCAAGGTACGACCAGCCAACAAACCAGCCAACACCAGCTCGCCCCGATGGCAAAGTCCCATCCTGCGGGGAGGCGGTGGGAGGAGGTCCCACCTCCTCTGCCTTTATAGTCTCAGTGCAGCCGAACGAAATTTATCTCAACCACAATCAGTTCTTGTTGCTAATTATTTACCTACCTACTGCAAACACCGCAGCAGAGGACGGGTGCTTTGCCTGCCCCAGCACTTCAGTTTTCTGGCCGTGGGATGTATTTGCAACCGTCAGGGAGGTGGTGTGGACATAAGGTCTGCAATGCCATAAATCCACGTACCAGCAAACTCCGTGGAAAAGGCTGAGGTTCTGCTAAAGGATGCATTGGGGCTGGCCAGACCCATCTCATAAAACCAAAGTAATGAGGATTTTTTTTTTAAAGCACATGAGGATGGATGTGCATAAGACAACTTCATTTTAGCCCTCCTGCAACGAACACAAGCAAATCCACTGGGTAGTTCATAACGTTGTGGTTTCTGCATATTCTGGGTTTTAATGTTTCCAACGCTGCAGATCTTGGCCTAGTAAACAGTGTTAATAATTGTTGTAATTATATGATTTTAAGTGCATTTTGTTTAAGGGCGTAGCCTCTCCGAGCCTCCAGCAGAGAACCAGTCCCTGTCAGACAGGGCTGCTCTGTCCCGCCAGCGCAGCCCAGATCCCGGGCTGGCTGGAAGGAGCCCTGCCCGCCCCGAGCTCAGCGGGACCCGGCCGTCCTTCCCTGAGCACCCACGGTGATCGCCCATGCTGGGCACCCGCTGCAACAGACGTGCAAACCCCAGGGGGACTTTGTCCTCCCTGCCACCACGCGCTCCCATCTCGGGTACAGGGGCTGGAGGTACCTGGACAGGCAGGCAAAGACCGTCCTGCCTGGAGGTCACGAGATGTGGCTGCTGTGGCCATCCAGTGGTAGCCTGGGCTGTGCAAGTGATGCTGCCGGTGGTGGCAATGGCCTTCCAGCCAAAAACCGAGGCTGCTCGGTCCCCGCCGCCCCCCACGCTGGCCATGGAAGGGATTAGCTCATGGGTGCCTGCCCGTGCTGGCAGCGAGAGGGCAGACTCCAGCCCGCGGCGGCAGACATGAGCTCAGCACCACGCTCCCATCCTCAGGGTCGGCGTGGGCGGCTGTCACTTCGGGAAGCTGCTCCCTGCCGTCTGCAGCCTGATGCAGCAGAGAGAGAAGCTGCATGAGAAAAAGGGAGCCCGAAGGACGGAGAATGAAAGGTGTTAGTGCTTTGAAAGGATGAGAAGGCTTGGGGCATGGAGGAGGAGAAGGACTGGGTCCTTGCAGAGCTCGTTGTAGCCTCGTGGATGTCAGTGGTACATTAGCACAAGTTGCCAGAGATGCTTTCCTGAACCGCGGTCCAATTCAGTCCATAGGGTTATCCAATGAATCATAGAATCATAGAATCATAGAATCATTAAGGTTGGAAAAGATCTCTAAGATCATCGAGTCCAACCGTCAACCCAACACCACCATGACCACTAAACCATGTCCCTAAGCGCCTCATCTACACGTCTTTTAAATACTTCCAGGCAAAGGACAGGAGAAGCCTAAAAACCAGTTATCAGGGAGAGCCAATCCAACCCAGCCAACCTCACCCCAAACTGGGAGCTTGCATCAAGAGATCAGCTGCCAAGATCAACATACAGGCTGTTTCCAAAGAAATCTGAGCGCGAGGGGTCTTTCCTTGTTGGAGCACGCTCAGCCCGACCCCACAACCAGGACCACGCTCACCCTTGGCGCATGCAGGAGATCACACATTGTGGACCCAAACACTCAGACACTAAATACTCCACAGCAGAATCCACGTGAGCTCCTAACACACACAAGAGCTCCTCTCAGCTCATGGGGACACAAACCAGAAGCACAGCGTCCAGCGTGAAG